CCAATTTAAACCACATTTCCCCAAATGAATTTAATGGAAAACCTACCTTGCTTGAACTATTGTCTCAATAGTGCCTCAATAACTCTGTCCCAAGAATAATTCACATTTTCATTTTCACTTTGTTAAGCTATAGTTCAAATTACTTTGTCCCTAATGGTATATATCAATCAACATTGAAACCCACATCAACATCCTAATTGAAATTCGACATTTGAGGCTAAGGTGGTTAATGCCTTTGACAAAGAAATATATTTGAAGTTTTGCTGCAAAAAATTAGACTATTGAGGCTACAGTTCAAGCAACAATTTTACTGCAATTTATACCTACATTTGTACAATTAAAACCCACCCATCAAAATCCCAATTGAAATTCGACATTTTGGAAAACCTATCCCCAAAATTCGACAACCACAAACCCCCGATTTCATAACCAAAAAAACCAATCTTTGATTCCAACAACACACAACAACAACTACAATGATATTAAATCAGACAAACCATACACACATTCATGTGGATACGAAGCCAAAACAGAAATACCAAACCTTAAACAATTAAACAATTTAACTCAACAAAACGTTCTCACTACGCTTACAAACCACGCTGATTTTGTCCGGTTTTCGAACGTGATTTCCCCAATTCACAAACATTTAGAGCAATGATACTTGAATCTTTAGAAGTGTAAGGTATTTTACCTGTTCACTTTCTCCTACTTGTTTGGAGGCAATGCATCTGCACACGTTTAGAAGTCTCTGTTATGTGCTAGAAAACATTAGAGACAACAGTGAAGGTAAATATGAGAAGACATACACAAGGGTTTGTGAAAACAGCAAACACTCAAATTTTAATCTCTTTAAAAAAAAACACAAATTCAGACAGAAATTCATGATGCAATTCAAACTCTCAGAACAAAACTAAAAACCCTAAAAACACTAGAATTCGACCCCTAAATTGAAAATTCGATAATTTGCAAAACCTTTACCCCTAAATTCGACCCCCAAAACCCTAAAATAGACCAAACACTAGAATTCATCAAAATTAACTAATCAAAACAATAATCCTCGACTACAAGTTTAACCCCACAAAAAAAAATACATACCTGAAGGAGATTGACATCGCGATTTTGACGGAGGTGGACGGAGATCCCAGCGGGGGAGAACCTATGAATCCAACAACTCTTCGTCGGGGGACGATTTTGTAGAAAATAATCGAAGGAGATTCAGATATTCAATTTCGACTAAGAGGGAAATTGGAATGATATACAGGAGAGAGAAAATACGACAGGAAAGAGGAACAACAGAGAGGAGAGAGAAAAGGACGTCTCACACTTTCCTCGTAACGGAGTACTTTACCTCGAAACGACATAAGCATCTGGCCAAATTCAAATTTCATATCAAAAGACAACTTTACCCCTGCGAGACAACACCAAATATCTCGCAACACTCCGTTTAGAAAGCCTCTATTTTCTCTCATATGTCGTAAGTGGGTTGTGTGTTGTACTCTTAAATTTTGTAATCTACTACACAATGGCCTTTTAAATCCCACACTTTACTCTTTCTCTATCTCTATTTCTCTCACTTACTCTGTTGCTCTCTCTTCGCTCAATCCTTCCAAGATCCACACCATTACTGCGCTTTTCAATTTTGGTGGTTTTTTGGTGAACAATTACGCATTCCTGCAAAAAAAAGGGCGAGAAGTAAGTACTTAAATTTCTTTGTTACGAAATATATGTATTTAATGGTTTTAAGTTATGCAAAGAATTAGAGTTCTGGGTTGATTTGTTTACACTAGGTTTCCAAGATGTGAGCTTTTTGTTGATTGTTTGTAAACACTCGCGATTTTTGTTAGAGTTCGTAGGTAGGTGGTCAATTTATATGTTTAAATTGAACTGGGGGTTACGGGACGGGGGTAGGATGTTGATTTGATATTGAGTTAGGATTTGTGTAAATGGCAGAAATTGAATTGGGGTATTTGCAAAGCGAATGAATTTATTTAGGTAAGAAGTTGATTTGATTGCAGTTGGGGGTTTCGGGATGTGGGTAAGTTGTTGGTTTCATTGTTATGTATGGCGAAGTGAGTTATAGTTTTTGTAGTCGGTGTTCTAATGTAAATGGGATGAATTGAGTTAGAGTTTTTGTAAAGGGGGTGAATCTAGTTATGGTTGTTCTAATGGGATGAAATCTTTTGAGTTTGGGTTTGTATTAACAACATTATTTGACTTTTGGGTTCGTGTAAAAGGGGATCAATTTATTGAAGATAGGATGTATTAAGTATGGGTTCAATCAAAGGGGATGATTTAGGCTTAAATTGAAGTTGTGGGGTTTTTTTTCTTTATTTGTTGACTGTTATAACTTTTGTGGATTTGTTATGGTCTTCCTCTTAAAATTGGGTTGATCTTTAAATTAGTGTTACTCTTTAACTTGTGTAGATTTGTTATGGTGTTGCTCTATAAATTGAAACACCCTAATTTGAAGCTGTAGATTTTTTTTGATAGTTTATCTCATGTGGGGTTTCTTGATTATTTGATGTTTGAGTTTGATGTTATGAGTTTATTTAATGCCTTTTTTATCTTTTAAAAGAAACCTTGTGGTGAATTCGATCAACATTCTTATTCAATTTTAGTGTGAAAATTTTTTGTTGGATTTAATTTCTTCTTGTTGGTTATGGTGAAGTCGGCATTCTTATTTAGTTTTAGTGTGAAAGTAAAGCCAGAGGGACTGGGGTGGTGGGGGTAGCCATGTCGTCTAATTCACTACCTGTTATGGTGAGGCTTTAAGATGCATTATCTTTGTTGTATTCATGACATGCCTCAAGATGGTTGGTCCTTTTGAATTAACCACCTGTATGGTGTTGCTCTTAAAATATTCTTACTAGTTGAAAGCCCTTTTTTATAACTGTGAAGATGAATTTGGGAGATGATTATGGATTATTCGATGTTTGAGTTTGATTTTTGGTGGGGGTAGCCATGTCTAATTCACTACCTGTTATGGTGAGGCTTTAAGATGCATTATCTTTGTTGTATTCATGACATGCCTCAAAGATGCTTGGTCCTTTTAAATTAACCACTTGTATGGTGTTGCTCTTAAAATTTTTTTACTATTTGAAAGCCCTTTTTTATAACTATGAAAATGAATTTGGGAGATAATTATGGATTATTTGATGTTTGATTTTGGTGTTGTGAGTTTATTTGATGCCTTGTTTATCTTTTAAATGAAACCTTATGGTGAATTAAGCATTCTTATTCAGCTTTAATCTGAAAATTGTTTGTTGGATTTAATTTCTTCTTAGTTGTTATGGTGAATTCAACATTCTTATCCAGTTTTAGTGTGAAAATTGTTTGTTGGATTTAATTTCTTCTTGTTGGTTATAGTGAATTCATCATTCTTATTTAGTTTTAGTGAAAGTAAAGCTAGAGGGACTGGGGTGGTGGAGGTAGCCAGGTGTCATTCACTACCTGTTAAGGTGTTATGGTGAGGCTTTAAGATGCATTATCTTTGTTGTATTCATGACATGTCTCAAGATGGTTGGTCCTTTTGAATTAACCACTTGTATTGTTGCTCCTAAAATTTTCTTACTAGTTGAAAGACCTTTTTTTATAAATGTGAAGATGATTTAAGGGGATGATTTTATGGCTTTGGCTATCTGTCATACATGATTGTTGTTTCCATGTAGGGATGTCAATATTAAGTGGATATCCACTAACCCGCTCCACCCGCAATAAATAAATGGATAAAAATCCGAATTAAATGGATGAAAAGCGGGTGACGGATGAAGCGGATGATGGATCGGATCGGATATGGATGATACTTTTTTCACCCGCTAATCATCCACCCACTCGTTTAACACATATTAATTTTTTAATCTAAGAATTTTAATAATAAAATCTGAAATGTGCAAGAAAATTATATGTATTTTTTTGTTGCAAATTAATTTTACAAACAATATATTGTTATTGTTTCCTTTTTAATTAATAAAATTAATAAAACTATTGTACAAATAACCGAAAATTAAAGTTATGTGAGTTTTTTTCAACTTTAATACTCATCCATTAGTCATCCGCTCCACCCGTTTCATCCGCGGATGATGGACGGATGGATATGGATGATGGGTGAAGCGGATGATGGATGGATGTGGATGGAGCGATACGAGTAATGGATGGATGCGGGTGAAGCTCCACCCGATCCGAATCCGATCCATTGCCATCTCTATTTCCATGGTATATAGAAATGAAATTCTCATAAGTGTTTTAGTTTTTGTATCAGCATGAGATTATGTGTAGTGTTAGTGTTCTATACAAATTGAAAAGTAATTTTTTTCAGTATAACAGTTGACCATAAACGATGAAGAACAGGTTGCATATGCGGGATTTCTTTTGGAAAAAGATGAGAATGAGAGTTTGTATTTAGGTGATTCTTATTTTTAATTGTTGGTTAACAACATGAGCATATAAGCTTATATTAGAGTTTTCTATTTGGTAGAGTTCTTCGAAGAATGCCGAAAGTTGTGAAAGTTGAGTTGAAAGCCCCGGCGCCCCTGCAACTGAGGCAAATAGCAATCATAGATTACCTAAAAAGAAAATGATTGTTGAGGACAGTGGTACGTGATTATGAATCTAGTTCTAGTTCGACACAATTGGAGTACGAAGATCAAGTTGAATCTAGCTTGGGGACATTAGAGAATATGATGAAGCGGTATTTTATGAGTAGGAGTAAGAGAAGGACACTAGTGGAAAAAATCTCATTTGTGAAAGGTATTTGTAACGGGCAAAGCTTTGCCCGTTACAATTAAGATATTCGTAACGGGCAAAATAGTGTACGTTACGAATACTTATTTATTCGTAACGGGAAAAATAATGTCCGTTACGAATACTTATGTATTTGTAACGAACAAATTAGTGCTTTTTACGAATAAATAAGTATCCGTAACGGACACTATTTTGTCCGTTACAAATACTATATTACACGTAACATACAAATTGCCAAACTTGGCCCAACTGACGAGAGGAGCCCAGTACTTGGCTTTTTAGGGTTTCACCTAATAGCCGTCATTCACCTCTTTCTCTCTCATCAGTCCCTCACTCCCTCTCTCTCTCTCCTCTCCTCCCCGTCATTCACTCTCTTTCTCTCATTTCAAACTCATGCCCTCTCCCCTCTCCTCCATCAATCTTCCCCTTAACAACAAGTGAAGGTCTCTAAACCTAACTATTGAAGAACGATTCTTGATAATTTGGGATATCTTTGCCGAAAATTTCAACCATTTTAGATCGTGAGGTAAGAAGTCCTTCAATTGTTTCCTCTTCTTAAATTGATTTCTGGGCATCTAATTGTTTAAATTCTTGAATTTTGTTCTAGTGAATTCTAATTTGCTTTATTTTTTTCTACATGCAATTTGTATTTGATTTATTTTTGGCATTTATATGGTTCGATTATCCTTTGTATGTCTAAAAACGAATAATAAATCTAAGGAAAATATATTCTTCAATTGAAACGAGTAATACATGCAATCAGTAATGGTTTTAGTTCATATTTGCCAATTAATACCTTATTGGCAAATTTTTTTGTAATTTTTTTTTGTTTATAGAGGGAATTAAGAAACCCGATATGGCATGTTGATTAATTCTAGGGTTCTTCGAATTCTTTACCGAAATCGATCAATCTAACCCCAATTCGTTCATTTTTAGTGGTAATTTATGGGTTATTGGTATATAATCTCTATAAATCGGTTTGTTGAAGGGAGAATTTGGGTATTGGTTATTGGTTATTGATTCTCTATGCAAGGTTCTTTCTTTCTACATTCTTTGGTGTTTTAATCTGATAATTAGGCTAATTAGTGTAGAATTAAGATTTTATCTGTTATAGATAGAACAGAACTTTGATGGGTCCCTCTACAATTTTGACAGTGTCATTTGTTGATATTGTCTTCATACGATGGCCTAAAGCTGTAAATTTCTTCTCTAGAGGCACATACTTCAATTCTTTTTGTCCTAGATTCAATGTCGTTGGTCCTTCTAAACCCTCTTTTAAAATCTAAAATGGACAATGACATATCAGAAACAGGCAAAACTGCAATATTTATTGACGCCCACCCCCCACCCCCAAATATTTATCTGAATATGATTGGATTGAATTTTTGAATTGATGAATTAGGTTGCTTATTCTGTTAATGGTTCGTGGGTTTTAGTTGTTTTGTTGCCACTGTTTAGATTTGTGTATTCGTTACTTTCCATATTAGTAATTGATTGTGAATTCGACATGTTTTCGATTTTCGAATGTGATAAGAAATCATTTCCTGGGTTATGCATAAGTATGAAGGATAAGGAATAATGGATTTTTTGTTTATGTGTTGTTCTCTCTTAGTGGAAAGCTATATTTGCCTTAATGTGTTTATTATATGACCTGTTGTACCATGGGTTTAGGGAAGCTCGAGGAAAACAATTCCTCAGCGGGCACAGAAGGTGCATTACAAACCATCAAGCAGGCGGCTTGTCGTGAGAGCTTTTGCGAAGCAAATTGCCTTTGACCAGGATTCCAAGGCAGCCCTTCAGGCTGGCATTGATAAACTTGCTGATGTTGTTGGACTTACCCTTGGTCCAAGAGGTATCTTATAATCCCCGAAAGACAAAAATGTGTAAATTTGACGTATGTTTGCCTAGGAAAAGCAGTACCACAGTTACTTGCTTGGAATTTTCAATTAAACATTGATAATTTTATACGAAGTATTAATTAAGCGTGTTTATCATGTGTAACTCCTGACACTATATGTTGATGCTTTCATTTTACTGGGTTTTTTTTGCTGAGTTGCTGTTCTTAGTGTTGTATAATGGCATATAATTGAATTTCTTTTTGTAGGGTAGTAATTATGGAGTTACTATTGCTCGAGCTATTGAGCTTGCTTATCCTATGGAGAATGTTGGTGCTGCCTTGATAAGGGAGGTATGGAGTTTCCATGTATAAGTGTATGACTGTTGTTTCATTTAACGAACGTTACGCTTGTCTTGGAGGATAAGAATTTAGTGTTGTAAACTTTGTTGTCACGGTTAATAGTTTCTATATGTGATATGATAGCGTTGGTGATATAGGTTGCCAGTAAAACAAATGACTCAGTTGCTGATGGACCTACAACTGCTTCTGTTCTTGCACGCGAGTTTATCAGACAAGGTCTGCTCTGTGTTACCTCAGGTGCTAACCCTGTGTCTTTGAAAAGAGGAATTGATAAAACCATCCAAGGATTGATAAAGGAACTTGAAAAGAGAGCCAGGCCAATCAATGGCCGCGAGGATAAAGGTACTACTTTTTCTGACTACTGCTAGATGGTGTTGAGTTATTATGAAGTGTAAAAGCATATTTATAATAATTGATCATGCTTTTGCTTTCAGCTATTGCCACTGTCTCTTTTGGAAATGATGAATTGATCGGAACCATGATTGTTGACGCTATTGACAAAGTTGGCCCAGATGGTGTTTTATCCATTGAGTCGTCATCTTCCTTTGAGACAACTGTCGAAGTGGAAGAAGGAATGGAGGTTTGTGGCTTGTATACTAGCAATTAATGTGCTTGCAAAATGTAAGTTTATACGAAATGGTCCTCATATAATGTCGGTTGTTCTCTGTATTGTAGATTGATAGAGGGTATATATCTCCACAGTTTGTTACCAATCCTGAAAAATCAATTGTTGAATTTGAAAATGATAGAGTCTTGATAACTGACCAGAAGATATATGCAATTAAATATATTATCCCATTATTGGAAATGACCACTCAAATGAGAGCACCTTTGCTTATTATTGCTGAGGATATTACTGGAGAAACATTGGCCACTCTAGTTGTTGTAGACATCTACTTTTGGCCTCCTGTCCCGACAGGAAGTGCAATGACGATAAATAAAATTATCTTCGTGCTAGATTGAAGTGGATAATGCTTATGGATAACTGGTTAAGCCACATCACAAAAACTAGCCCAAACTAAATAAACAAAGCTAAAACGAGGTCCAGTTAACTAAATCCGATCAAAATTAGGCTTAAGCCCGTGCTTAAAACCCAATAATGACGGATTTAGGAGCGCCTAGGTTAAATTTTAATGCTACCGCAGGAAAATCCGCGCGCATCTTAATCAGTCGCACTGGGCAGGCCCGCGCAACTAATTTAGTTGCGCGCGACACTCAGCCTAACCTCCAAAGATGCGCTCACGGAAGATTCATAATTTTATAAAAATATAAAATCGAATCTTACCATAATGCCGCGCGCAAGAAAATCAGTTGCGCTGCCCATAGCAGTGCAACTAAATCACTTGCGCTGGGATGCCGCGCGCAATTCATCCAGATGCGCGCGACACCTGCTGCGGCAGAATTTTCAAAACCCTAAACCTACTCATTCCCTATAAATAGAGGCTTAATCCGAGGCATAAACACATAGAAAATAACCTAAAACTCAGGCGAAATACTTGTGAACTTGTGCTACCTAAACCCTCTTGTCCTAAACACTCACCCCTTGATCTTTTGTTACTACGGTGGAGGTTCCACTAAGAAGAAGGTGTCCATAAGTGTTCTAAACGGAGATCTAGCAAAGAGAAGTGGTAAATTTTCGAGCACTTAGATAAATCACATTTATTTGCTTCTTTAAAGGAACCTTAATTAATTAATTAGTATTGTTTGATCATCTTTAAAGGGCTAATTAATTATTTTCACATAGTATCTTGCGTTAAATAAAGATTAGAATTGGATAATTAATTGTTGGTTGATAACTTAAGCCAAGGAGAATATTGTTTATTTTCTTGTTCTTTTCACGAATTTGATTAAATAAAGAATAACGACATTGCAATGTAATTCCTACGTGAATTAACGTGTGTAAATAAAATCAACTAACTTAGTTTTAGGTATCGCGTTGCATATATTGTTTGGTAATGAAATTGAAAAAAGGAAGAGCTAGTAGAGACCGTACTAGGGCTAGAATAGTGATTCCTCCCTAAAAGGATCATTATTTTAGTACCTTCGCTCCCGAACTCATTTCTGATTTATGTAGACCAATTTGGCCATGGGTAAACTTTTGATTTGTGCTAATTATTCCATGAACTCCACATGGAAGAAAGGCATGAACGAGGTTTATGAGTTTTCCTAAAACTCATTGGCGACTCCTACTTGTTTCTTACAAAAAAGCGTGATGAGAGTATCATTTCTAATTCAAGGTCTCCCACACAGTTAGGAATTCAAATCCTAATACACCCTAACAAGTGTAAAGTCCTAGGCTTTTAAGTGGCCATGGGCATCTAAGGAAGGACCCCCTATGATGGGATCACCCTCCTTACAGTGGCGACTCCACTGGGGACTTAAAGGTTACATGATTAGTTCTTAGTTATGGTCCAAGGTTTCCAACACTAGGTTGCCTATGGGTTATAACGAGAATTAACTTGGATAATCTCTAGTTAGATAGCGAGACTCGAACGCATAATATCTTCCTTTTGCGCAAAAGTAAAAACTAAACAAGAAACATTGCATCATGCATAAGTATAACACAGTTTAACAATTAGGGATTGGCTCATTGATTAGGGGTCGCCAACACTAGGCTTCTATCCCGAAATCAATAACAATCATCCCACCCATATCACCAACAAAATGTTGGGAGGACGATGTCATGAGTCAACACGTTGAGTGATTGATTTGTCCATTGTTTCTTAAGATATGGTACCTTTGGACACCCAAGCCTCTTTGACCTTAGAATGGAAATACGTGAATCTTGGCTTATGATATGCTTTATGTGCTTATGTGACTATGTGCAACGTGTTAGGATAGTCTTCTTCTTTTTTTTTTTTTCTTTTTTTCGGTCTAGATTCCCAATTACGAAGTAGTCTCTTCGTAAATTTGAGTCATATTCGAAGGGTAACATAAAAAAAATTAAAAAAAAAGATGACAAAAAAAAAAAGAAGCGCTCGAATTAAAAAAAAAATAAATTTTACGAGTAGGTGGCGCGCGCAACCTAATAAGTTCCGCGACCCCTACTAGCGCAACAGATTTGGTTGCGCGCGACATCCGCGCGCAACTCAATCTCTTGCGTGCGCCCACTATTACGAGTCGATTAGATTTCTCAAAAAACAAGTCGACTCGTTCAAACAATACCTTTATCGGAGAATTTTTTAAGGGTGATGTTATTCGTTCGAATATATTTTGCGTTATTTCTTTTTTTTATCTTTTAAACAAGCGTATCGATTCACTTATACTCTCGTACTTCCTTTAGGGCCGGTTCTCAAGCTTGGGAATGAAGACTCCCAGGCGCCTGTATTCTACGTTTATCATCAAATGACCCACCTCTTTCAAACCACTTCCGATCCCCTCGACAACTAGTCCTAGTCCAACAACAATGTCGACTATCGAACAACTCCAAGAAGAGATTGCTTGATTAAGAGAAGAAAAGTCTCAAGAGGCCGAGGAAAGAAGAATTAAGAAACTTGAAAAAGCCGAAAAGAAAAATGCAGAGGCTCTAGCCTTGTAACAAAAGATGGAACAATTATCCGTCAAAGCAAAGTCGTTAGAGAAGCTTGTTCTTCGTTTCACCATGGGGAACAAGTACTTCGACGCAGAAAAGTTTTCTCCTCCCTCAGGACTTGCTTTGCCAGAAAAGTTCGTAGCTACGGACTTGCTGACCAATAGTCCACAAAACCACTTAATGTGTTTTACTGGCACCATGGCATTAAAGAGAGTTGATCCTAAGCTTTATGCTTTGACTTTCTCTTTATCTTTAGACCCAACCGCGAGAGAATGGTACTATGGGTTGGATCCAAAATTTAAAAAAATATGGGAAGATGTAGTTTCGGCTTTCATTACCCAATATGAGAGTAACGTAGAGTTCAAATCGACTCTACGTGAGCTTGAAATGCTTAAGCAAGGCGACGATGAAGGTTTCCTTGCTTTCTATGGTAGATGGCAAGAAAAGGCGACCCACCTTGCCCAAAGGCCACCCAAACTCGAGTTGGTACAAAAATTCATCGACAACTGTCATGAAAAGTACAACAAACATCTACACTACCTTGGTTTAGACACTTTTCAAAAGGTCTATTCTGTGGGTACTAGGATTGAAGATGATCTTGCTAAAGAAAAAGCAAATAAACCCCATTATCATCATCAACCTAAGAATAACTACAAAAAGAGGAATGATAATACATCATCCTCTATTGATGTATTTGTGACCACCACGCAATATAATAATACCAATCAATACAATAATAATGATCCTAGAAGGAGGTGGACAAAAGAAAGAAAATTTACACCATTTCCTGTAAGCTATAAAGAGTTATTAGAAAAATTAAGCGAAAAAGGCTTACTTGCGCCAACAGGGCCAACACCACCCACTCCACCAGAAAGAAGGTTTCCTCAATGGGATGGTAATGCTAATTGTGCTTATCATAGGGGCGTTGGGCACGATACTGAACGTTGCAACGCCTTAAGGCACAAAATACAAGATTTAGTAGACGATGGTAGAATTCCCACGCCTAAACCTAACAATAATGCATCCCCATTAGGGGTGTTTCATATTGATGAGGATTATATGGGAAGTGGTACGTTCAATCCTTTGGACTATATCACACCTATAGAAACCTCTAGCCACAATACTCATAGGGGCAACTAACGAAGTATGTGGATTATGGGGCGACGACTTTCAAGACTTATATGTCTCTAAGTATGCCGCTGTCCCACCTCCATCTTGTTTACAAAATGAGACAAATGAAGCGTTTGATTGGGATCATTTCTTGGGGAAGTCACAAAACCTATCAAATTTCTCCTTGGATGAACAATGGCATCAAGCACAACTCGTGGAACATCTTGAAATGGAGGCAAATCCAAAGCCTCTAGAAGAAAGTTGGTTTGTGAGTCCTACGACTAATCCAAATGAGGTAGATCATCTAACTCGTTCTGGGTGAGTTTATCAAGCACCACCACCACCAAATGGATCTTCAACCATACAAAGTCAAACTCAAGGTCAAATGCAAAACACAATACCACCTCCACTTGAGGTAGAAGATCCATTGGTTAAACAACTTCACCATTCCAAGGCGAATGTTAGCATTTGGGAACTCTTAAGTACTTCTAAAGAACATAGGAATTCTCTTATGAATTTTCTAACGGCCTTGTCTGTAAGCACAGACACGACCACTCAGGATCTCGTTAGCTTGCTTACTAGCGAAAAATCCGAAAAATCATTCATTTTTACTAATGATGATTTGCCTTCAAAAGACACTACCCACAATAATGCATTATACTTAACTGTGGGGTACAAGGGATACATCATCCCTCTTACTTTGGTAGATAATGGGTCAGCTGTAAACGTATGCCCATTGCGAACTGCGAAATATTTAGGCCTTAATCCAGAAAAAGACTTTCAATCATCAACACAAAGTATTAGGGCCTACGACAACTCGAGAAGATCGGTGTGTGGAACTGTTAAGCTACCAATTACCATAGGCCCGATTCAAAATATAGTTGAATTCCATGTTATGGACATTAAACCTACATTCAACCTTCTACTTGGACGTCCTTGGGTACTGAGCTTGATGCAATACCATCCTCACTTCATCAAATGATTAGGTTGAACTATCAAGGGCTTCCTATGACTATACATGCTTCTCCACTCAATAGCCATAAATGACCAATCACATTTGGAAATAAACCATGATAATGATGAAGAGGACATGTGGGGATTTGGCACAGAGCCAATCTACACAATCGAAATGGAAGAAAGCCTTGAAGAATCATTCAAGCTTGATCCATATTCTACCAAGATAGTAAACAACATCTTATTTAAGAGTAGTTACTTTCCTAGGATGCATTTGGGAATGGGAATGAAGAAATCCCTCTTACTTCCTATCCCAAAGAAAAGCTTGTCCTTTGGATTGGGATATAAACCAACCAAAGAAGAATTAGAGTCTCACGATGCA